AAAAAAAAAAAAAAAGCACACACAATGTTAGCTACCGAAGTGCACGAAACGTTTTATTTGAATGTAGCCAAATTAAGGGCTGCCACGATCTCAGCACGGGGCCTCCGACGCGCCTGCGGGGGCTTCGCGACAGATGGGCAGCGGTGCCCGCAGAACGCCCAGGGGTGGGCGGTCCCTGGCGGATAGGTACGGTAAGGTCGGGGTGGGCGAATCTAGCCCAGGCTTGCCGCGGAGCGCAGGCCTCGGGTTTGTGTCCCTGTATGCGAGCGCGAGAGGAAACGGCTGCTTAGTGCCCGCCGAGTGGAGGAGCCAGGGGAAAAGGATGGATGGGGGCTTTCGTATTGGCTCACTCTAGCTCTTAACCTCGCCTCTCGTCCTTCTCTCACCTCTTTTCTTGTCTCTCCGCCTTCGCCTTCTGCTGTCTTCTCTTCCCTCTGCCTTTTTTAGAGGGAAGGGTCCCTCTTTTTTCTTCTCCAGCTCCTTTAAAAGATCTGCCTTCTCCTCAAGGTGCCTAATTGCAAATCCAGAGATTTTTGAAAAGGCAGAAGAGAGAAAGTGTGTGGGTGGAAAGACCACGTTTAGGTCTGGCTTGGTGGTTACTGCGGCTGGGGCAGGATTGGTGATCCCGAGAGTCCAGGTCTGGGCCCTTGCAGTTGTCAGTTTCTCTTGACAGCCCTGCTCTCTTGGCAGGTGTTTTCGTGTTATGAGTATTGCGCGTGGCATGGGTGGGATGGCTGAAGCTAGGTGACGGAGTTTGTCCAGGACTTTGCTGGAGATTAGCTTTCAGTCTTGGGCGAGGCTTATCCGGTGGAGCCTTAGTGACCTTCTCAGTTAATCAGGGCTGTTACAAGGATCCCATACAGTAATGGTTGGGAAGGGGCTGAGTGGTCTGTAAGAACCAAAGCAGCTGCTAGGTGCTTCCACACTTGCAGCATCTAGAGCGAGGCATGGTTTCCCACATCCACCATAACACACACTCACTAACTGTGGCGCGCCTCTGAAGCTAGAGCTAGCTGAAGAAGGAGTGGACTTAATAGGGATGTGGACCTCAGCAGATGTGCATTTGTTTTTGCCCAAGCCAGGCAGAGGTGGAGGATGAAAATGGCCCAACCCCAGGGCCAGACTGACAAGTAGACCCCTGGGAATGGGGAATGTTTTGTTTGTTTGTTTCAATCTGCATATGGAATGAGTCATTGCCACTTGCCGAGGTGAAATGGCAAATCTGGGCTTCCCATGGTTGCAAAAGTCTGTGACTGGGAATTCACAAGTGGTTGAAGCTGGCTAAAGGACAGCCTTAGGTATTCCAGAAGTGTTTAGGGATGTCTTTCATGGGGGAAGAGGAGATGGTTTATAAATGAAACTCTCATGTGTCTTTAGCATTCTTTTTCAACAGAGACAATCACTGAACTTTGGTTAGGACCGATCTAGTGTATCTCTCTTTGCCCATCTTGAGTTAGGATGGGAGAGGAGGAAATAGGTTCTTTTGTCTCTTTCTGTCCTCTCCCTTCAGCCATCCCCTTCCCTCATCCTCACTCACTCACATGCACACGCTAACCTTGAAGCCGATGGGATTGAGTGACTGGCACTTGGGACCACAGAGAAATGTCAGAGTGTTTGGTTACAGACTCAAGGAAACCTCTCATTTTAGAGTGCTCATTTGGTAAGATTCAGCAGCCTGAAATGGGGGCAAAGTGTTTGTGTGGGGGAAAGAACTTAAAAATGAGATTCACCCACATTAGGGTGCTGTCTTGCATGTTCTACAGCACGTAGGCTGATTTGGAAAAGGGACAGGAATTTGAGCCAGAAGACCGAGGGCTGGGCCACTAACCATCTACGTGGCCCAACATGACCTCCCTGGCCTCAGGCCCCTTTACCCGGAAAATAGCTCTAAAGAGCTATGCTTTAAAAAAAAAAAGGTGGGGGGAGTGGAAGAGGATTCAGATATTGTTTTGTTTTGCAGCCTACATGTGATCATAAATGAGAGTCTTCCACCTGTGCTTTGAAATTATTTTCTTTTAGGGAAACAAAAATTTGGAGCGGGTACATATTTCCTGAGTGCTCTCTGGCCAGTTCTTAGCTAAAGCACGCAGTTAAATCTTTGACCAGCAGGGAGAGCACAAGCTTGGAAGTTTGTAGCCTTCTATCTAGTCTTAGACCCAGGAGGGAAAGAAGAGGAAACTTTGAAAAAGCAAAGATACTCAAGGAAAGCATAGACACGCCATCTCTGGGTGTATTCTGCAGATCCTGTATTTAGTCTTAAATGTTCTGCGGGGGCTTCGCGACAGATGGGCAGCGGTGCCCGCAGAACGCCCAGGGGTGGGCGGTCCCTGGCGGATAGGTACGGTAAGGTCGGGGTGGGCGAATCTAGCCCGGGCTTGCCGCGGAGCGCAGGCCTCGGGTTTGTGTCCCTGTATGCGAGCGCGAGAGGAAACGGCTGCTTAGTGCCCGCCGAGTGGAGGAGCCAGGGGAAAAGGATGGATGGGGGCTTTCGTATTGGCTCACTCTAGCTCTTAACCTCGCCTCTCGTCCTTCTCTCACCTTCGGAGTTCAAAACTTAAGATGGCAAAGGCGCGTAGGGGTGCCGGCGACCCCTAGCGACGACCGCCGGCGCGCACACTCTTGGTAGATGCTGCGGTCTCCACCGCCCCGGTCCGAGGAAATCGAGTTCAGCCTCTCCCACTGCGGGAGCAGTCGGAGGCCGCGTCGGAGAAACGCGCCTCTGTTCGGGTTGGAAACGAATCTGGGGATGTGTTTGAAGAGTGGTCAAGTTTGACTCATCGCTTTCCAAGGACAGTTAGTGCCTTCCATCTTCATTAACGTGAATAAAGACCTCGGCTGACTTTTGTCCAGATCGGATTTTTAAAGGCATTGTTTGGTTGGGGACATCATGCCGCTCCCCTCCCCCGGCAGCCTTTTTGCAAAGGCAGAGCCCAGTCCAGCCCGGATGGCCGAGATATCTTTGCTCGGGGACGTGGTTTGCTGGCATTGTCTACTGGCTCTTTCTGGAAGGCTGTCGCGAGCTGGGCGCATGGGGAGCGTCCCTTCTGCAGCTCCTCTTCAGATCTTGATGATAAAACACATCCCTCTATTTTATTGCATTTCCTAGAAGCTTGCAGGCTTGAAAGAGCTCTACTGGCAGGAAACGTGATAGAAATAAAGTCAGGACATAATGTCCCCGAACACCTCGGTCACCCAAAGCGACTGCCGAGGCTACCGCGTTATCAAATTCGCTTTCATTTATTGTCGTCTCCTCCGCCCTCCCGCCCTCCAGTCAAGAGAGCGAAGAGTGTTTCACTCTTAAAAACAGCGGCGCGGTTTAACCCCACCCCCTACCGCTGGATCACCGTGGCTAAACTGGAGCAGCTAGTTAGCTGAGCCGCTGCGCAGAAAGGGAGCGCTCGGGCAGGAGCCCTGATGCTGGTTTCACTACGGCAGCTCCAGCCTTATTAAAATTCCTAGTTCCTACCCCTAAACAGTGCTTTGCACTTCCAGATTCTTCTTTGGATTTCTCGGCGAGTTATTGGAGTTATTAGATTACCAATAATCCAACGGCGGGCCGGGATTAGAGAAGGGACGCGGTGGGTGGGGGGGGGAGGCTGTGCGAAAGGCATTCTCCAAAGCTGGAGACTGTGTCTAAAGTAGGTCAATGGGAAGGAGAGGCGGGGCTACATGCGGGTTGTCGGTTTCAAGCCTTGATGGAGGGCTCTCTCTAGTGTTTAGCAGCGGTAAGACATGATTAGGTTTGAGCTCCCGGAACCACGGGAATCCTAATTTCCATTAAGTGCATGTACGTAATTTTAACTTCCCTTCCTAGATACTCACCCCATTCCATATTAAATTTCAACCTTCGCTTTCACCTTTATTCCACCCGGCGAAGGGGTAAGAAAGTCTCAAAGTAGGACTTTATGAGGCCGCCGAGGCCCAGTCTTTACCGACGGCCCTGACCCCGCCTCCGCCGCTGATAGGATGCGCGGCGCAGTGTGACGCCACCCGCCACTTTTAGGACCGGACTGCGGCCTTAGGCGCCGAGTATTTCGAGCCCCCAGCCCCGGAAAATTCCTCTCGGAGCCCACTACTAGGACCCATTAGGAGAGGGCGCCCAGGGGTTATAATTCCAAGGAAGGCCCAGAGAAAGCGAGGCGTCCTTGGAGCGCGCCCGTGCGCGCTCGGGTCAGCACCCCGGCCTCTGCGGAATCCTTACCGGGTCTGTACGGTTTCGGGGAAATCGGATTCCGAAATCCCGAAACCTGGCCAGGTTCGGCCTGGGAGCTCCTATTCTAAAGACTTTGGGCGGAAACCGAGGCTAGCAGGGTTCCCCGACTTGCCAACGTAGGCGGAAGGGGCTTTCGGTTTGGTTTTCCTACAAGTCGTCTGGCGCGCGCTGGATGGAGACCCTCAGCCCTAGGGACTCCCATCTTTTTGACCTTGACGCCTGACCCAACCACCCTCTTAAAGGGGGCGGAGGCAAGCTAAAAGCAAAAAGCAAAAATAAATAAATGACGCATTAGGCAAACAGAGGCCAGAATTGGGCAATTTGAAGTCATAAAATGAACCTCAGATTGGACCCGAATTCCTAGGTTCTAGACTGGCTCTGCTACTGACTTGTGCGACTTTCCCCATTTATAAAAACTGTTATGTGTAAGGGTTGGCCCGGGTGAACTGAGTCCTCGATCGGGCGCCGGCGAGGGATTTAGGGGAAAGTGTGCCTATTCCCCGCGAGCCTCCCCGGGCGCGCCCCGCCTCCCCCGGGTGAATCCCCGGCGGCCCTCGCGGCGCAGGCGGCGATCCTGGCGGCCGTCGAGGGCCGGCAGCTTCCTGGAAAGTTACTTCTCTTTGGAGCCGGCGATAGACAGAGTGTTCTGTGAAATCCGCTGAGCTGAGATCGACTACATTCCGGGAATGAGAGGGCTGTGCCATTCCGCTCACTACCCCCTGCCTTGACGGCGTAACAGGGGAAAAAAAAAAAAAAA